TCCTTTATTCACTAGCAGGGAAATGCCCTCCTAAGTCTAATAAGAAACAATGGCCAATAGTCAGAGTTAACAAAAATAGTAAGAAATGCTTCAACAGTTTGGGAAACTGTCATTGTAAATCTTGGAAGTATGAAGAAACATCGCATTTTGGCAATAGCACTTGTAAAAAAAAAAGGCTGGGGACTGGAAAAATGTCTGCTTAGGAGAAATTCATGTCCCTGAGCAGTTTTCAGCCAGAGAAAGAATAATGTTTCTGTATCTGTGAAACTCAGTATGGACAGGATTTCACTGTACAATACCCCTTTGATAAGAATAGCGCTGTTTTAAGGCACCAACTAGGTGGAAAACCCTTTTACTACTCTATTTTTAGCACTGGGGATTGCAAAGATGATGGGAGTGCTCTGAAGGATAGCTCTTTTGGTGCAACGGGATAGCTAGTCAGCCTTTAATAAATAATATTTTTGGTTATTTCAGTTGCCACCAAGAAGAACACAACATGCTGGTTGTCCAGAGAAGCTGTGGATGCTCCATCCCTGGGGGTGCTCAAGGTCAGGTTGGATGGGGCCCTGGGCAGCCTGCACTGATGGGAGGCAGCCCTACCCATGGCAAGGTTGGAACTGGGTGGGCTTTTAGGTCCTCTCCAGCCTAAACCATTCTGTGATTATCTGCTAAAGAACCAAGCACAGAACAGCATGAACCGAGGGGGATTTTTGCCATCAGGCCAGCTGTGAGGGTTCAAGAAAGAACCCTACACGTCATTTAAGCTGCCCTCAGGACATACATATCTCGTGGAGGTAAGCACACTGTGTAGGGACGATGGATAAGTAAGTCTGGGCTCTGAAAGCATGCATCCCTGTATAAATGTGCCCATTTAGATTTACTTCGCTATCTCTACTCCGCACTGCAATCTCTGTTATTTAAACCACTGTGAAGTACTGAATCTTTTAAATCTCATCATTTCATAGCCTCAGACATCTGGCAAACTCCATCTGCGCTATGGAACTGTGCTATTTCAAGGTCACGCATTTCAGTAAATGATTCCTAGTGTGTTTTGTTCCTATGTGGATGTGGAGTTCTTAGCATTAACCAGAATGCATCCAACCAAGGGACTGAAAGACTGTGATGATAAATTCTAGAAAAATCATATCAGAAAATTAATCCAGGAACGGGTCATGAAAGGGTAAAAGAAAACAGCAACAAGGCTGCAAGTGAGCAGCCTTAAGAAAAGTGAATTTATAGGAAAAAGCCGAGTTGGCAGTTTATGTAAGAAATGCTGTAAGCACGCAGCACCTTAGTGCAAAAATAAGGAGAGGAATTTTAGAAAGAGCAGAGAGCCTCAATCATTAGCTCTTCTTTGATCTCCGCGTAAGAAGGAAGCATGCAGAAAATGAAATGTAGGTCATCATACTAAGAATTTATACAAAAATGATGGCATAAGCATTTTTGGTGTAAATTACACTGTAAGCTAGAAAGAAAAAAACGCAGTTGAGGGGATCTCTGAAGGTGTGTTGGTAAAAGGAGGGAGTTCAGGCTCAGATGTTGTGCAACACGAAGAAGAGAGGAAAAGCAATCATCAGCACAGGGGAGGGGGAGATAATTTTGGTTGCTATTTTTGCTTCATTCTTTCCTACTATAGTTAACTGCAGTGAAGTAACAAACAAATTGTCTTCCTCTGGAGCAATGCATGAGTTCATACTGAATCACATTTTCTCCTGCTAGAACTTTTCTTTGATTCTTTTGTGGCCGTGCAGAACTTTGGTTTGGTCCCTTGGCTTTATCAATGAACCACTGAAAATTGCTGTGTCCGATGTTCCCTCTTGCTCTCCCTCCCCTTTTGCTGCCAGCTAATGGCCAGCCTGTTTATCAGAACATCAGGTAAGGCTGTATATAAAGCTTTGCTAAAACCAAGATATAGAAAGGTTACTGTTTCCTCCTACTCAAAGACCTGCTACTGAGTCACAGGAGAAAAATATTTTGGTTTGGCACAATTTCTCCTTGGTGAAAAACATCTCGGTTGTCAACTACCTCCTTCTTTTCTTCCAGGTATTTACAAATAATTACTCATTTTAGGACTTTTCCAGAAAATGAGATGAAGGTGATTGATCCATAATCCTTAAGGATCTTCATGGACTTGGTGATGTTGGTGGGTCCCTTCCAGCTGAAACTCTTCTGTCCTTGAAGGATGTGGGAGAACCATGGGTAGCGTAACCAAAAGGCATGTGAAAATCTGGCTGCTCTCAACTTTGAGATTCAGATGCTGTTTTGAATATCCGGGCATTTCCAACACCAGAACTGCCTTTTTGTTATCCTGCTTCTCACTGTTCTGTGAAGATATCATAAATAGAAGGAATCCAATGAGCTTACGAGCATTTGGGGGGATGTGAGAAGTTTCATGTATCTTGTACAAAGGAAAAGGAAACCAGCAAAGTTTTACCCTTTGGTGGCAATGAAAAAAAAGCTAATTTTGTCTCATGTGCAGGGAAGAGGCTCCAGTTGTATGGTGTTACACAATGTACCTATGTGCACTGATAGCTCAGTCAAGAAAATCCAGATGTGGCTTGTGGTTTGTGTTTTGTTATCCCTGAGATGACTCACCTGCTGTCCCAGGACACTGGCCAATTGGTGCCATGATGCCAGAGGGGACCCAGATAAGCAGGAGGAAGTGGTCCATTCTCAAGTGAAGTCACCCACATTGCAGAGGCAGCCTCTGCCATCAGCCCAGAGCGTGCTTCCCACTGCCTGCACACCAATGGCTGCACCTGCAATTGCTCAGCTTATCTGGGAAGAGACAAGAAAAGGCGCAGGCTCCTTCCCACCAAGGTGAGGGTATTGAGAGGAATTAGTTAGAGGTGTGTTTGATGGAAATATGTTTTTGTTTTTGTTTTTTTTTGTTTTTTTAACTTGGCATTTCATGGATTTTTAATTGCTATTGGGTATAGCACACCTGAATTTCTAAAGTCATCATAATCATAACAAGTTTTTCTTTTTCTTCTTTTTTTTTTTTTTTATACTCTGGAAAAACGATTGCACATTTCATTCCAGATCAGGTCTTCCATTCTCATCCCAAGGAAAAGCAATTTGTTATGTTTTTCTTCCCCAGCTTCTTGTTTCACAACTGTGAGAAGCCCATCTCCTCCGATCGTGCAATCAGTGCAGGGTTCTTGGTGGGAACTGCAACATGTGGGTTCCTGTAGGTCACAGCATCTGTACAGTGATGCTCAGCGTATTTGTGCAAGGTCAGTACACAAGTGCTGCCTTTGGGAACGTGCACAATGCCACATTCACGGGAAAACTTAGTGTTCCTGCAGAAATCTACCATGCTGACTCACGACCCAGAGATTTTGTAACTTGTTGCTGTGATAAGCCTGTGATCAGGCTCCTTTCTAATTAAGCAATCGCGTTCTCACAGTGTGCTTTTAGCTTCAATATGTTACTTGCTGTATAGATGTCTTCTAATCCTCCACGCTGACATCTTTCCCAGGCTGCCAATGCAAAACAAAGTTCTGGATCTTCCCCCCAGGCACTTCCTGAAACCTTTTTTTCCATCATTACATAAGGTGCTGGGGTGCTCTTTCTTTTAAGCTTGCCATCTGGATGCCGCTCTTGATTTTGTCTGTCTTCAAGCATGTATATTCAGGCTGGAATGCAGCCTCTTGCCATGTAACGGCTCTAAAAGTTGTACTTCTCAATCGCTGCACCAAAACTTTGGCCACTTTTTCACCATCTCACATCTTGACGTTTTGAGTTGCCCCCTCTCTATCACAGAGAGGGAGCTGAGACTGGCACAGCTGCCCAGAGAAGCTGTGGGTGCCCCATCCTTGGAGGTACACAGTGCCAGGCTGGATGGGGCCCTGGGCAGCATAAGCTGGTTGGGGGCAGCCCCACTTATGGCCGGGGGCTGGAACTGGGTTGGGTTAAAGTTCCTTCCAACACAAGCCATGCTGTAATTCTATGGTTTCCCAAACCAAGGTCTTGCTGCAAGATCTGCTGGGTCTTTGCGGAGCGCTGTTTGGATGCAGCTATAAGTAACACAAACTGCTCACCTGCCGCTGCCCATCTCTTCTGTCATCTACTGCTTTATTTGTCAAACCGGGCAGTGACCGACACAAAGAATTTAACAGTAACAGGTTTTCACAGTGGAGTCTTTGTTAAAGCAATGGACGCCGGTGTTATTTGTTTTAAGCCTTCAATGTATCTGCTCACTCGGAAAACCTTCCTCTGAAGTGCAATTCACAGACTGGATGGCCTCAGCGGCCCCAACAGCTCTTTGAAACAATGCCTATTGAAACCGAAAGCTTAAAAGATAAGGGAAGAATAAAACGTTCGCTTCTCTGTATCCTCAGACCAAGGGAACCCAATACCCTGTAGCAATCGTTCGCACAGAGAGACCGCTGAGCTCCTGGAACTCGGCGATGCCCTCAGCGGGGCCGTACGGTCGCAGAGCCGACAGCTCCTCGCTGCGTTTCTATTAAAAGCGGACAAACAGACCCCAGACAAACCACGCTCAGGACGGAGGAGAGCGGAGCTGTCCCGCTGTGCCGAGCGCTCGGAGGCGGCCGTGACACCGTGGCGGTGAGGCGGGGGTGAGGGCAGCTCCCGGACGCGCGGCTCCGAGGAGCGGGGAACGGCGGGGCGCGCAGCCGCCAGCCCTAACGAGGCGCGGGGGGAACGCGGCCCCGAGCCGCGCCGCAGAGGGGGCAGCGCGGCCCTACGGGACCGGGAGGAACCCGCCGGCGGCCGAGGCCACGCCCCCCTCATGTATATATTCACGCTCATTAGCATGGCTGATGACGCGGCCCCGCCCCCCGGCGGCCATTTGTAGCCGCGGCGCCCTGGCTGCGGGGGCGGGCGGCGCTCCTTTCGCTCCGCTCGGCGCTGCTCCTCTCGGCTCGGCGCTGCCGCGCTGCGGGGCGCTCCGTTACCCGCGCTGTGCCGGCGGCGCGCTCCGTGAGCAGCGGGGCTCGGGGCCGCTCGGAGCCGAGCGGGCGGCGGACGGCAGGGAGGGAAGGCGGCGGCGGCGGCGGCGGCGGGCAGGGAGGCGCCGGACCTGGCGGCGCTGCCGCGCTCGGCTCCCCCCGGCTCCCCCATGGCCGCGGGCTGCAGGGACGGCCCGGGGCAGGAGAAGTACCGGCTGGTGGTGGTGGGCGGCGGCGGCGTGGGCAAGTCGGCGCTCACCATCCAGTTCATCCAGGTGAGGCGCGGCGCCGGGGCAGCCCCTCTCGCGGCGCCGGGGAGGTTCCGCTCCGCCCGGCCGCGGCGCCGGGGCCTGGGCGCTGCCCGGCGCGCGGAGCCGGGGCGGAGGAAGGCCCGGAGGCGCCCCGTGCTGCCGGCGGGAGGCGGCGGCGCGACCTCGAGGGCCCCCCGGGAGGGCGCTGCGGGAGGGAAGGGGCGGCAGCCGCCTCCGGCCTGGCGCTGCCCGCGGCGCGCGGGTGGGGCGGCGCCGGGGTGCGAAGCGCGTCCCTGCGGGCGGCGGGGCAGGGCAGGGCAGGGCGAGCCGGGCGGCGCGGCTGCCTCGGTGCCGGGCTGCGGCTTACGGAAAGATGTGAGGAAAGGTGCGCGTCCAGGGAGGGCGCTCGGTCTGCCCCTCTGCCGTACCGCTGAGGCTTACCTCGGTGCCGTGCTGCGACGCGCCTTCAGGCTGAGCTCGGGGCACGCAGGTAGCTGGCGCTTCGAGAGCTTGGCTTCCTGGGAAGCTGTTGCAGGCGGAGCGCTGAAATGGGACCGGCTGCCGTCTTTGTAGCTGTGTGCGGCAGCGGGTACCGCGTGTGGCAGAGCGCGTCCGTCCCTGCTGCTGCTCTGGGGGCTGCTCGCTTCCCTGGCTCGGAGCGCTGCTAACGCGACGCGGTGTGGTCGCTTTGGATGGCATTGCCTGCGTGTTCCTGAGGGCATCCGGGCTGGTGCGAGAGCAGCGTGTGTGGCTGGAGGTCGGTTCTCCGGTGCTGCTGTCTTGGAAAAAGCTGCTGAATGAGTTTGTGGGATCCCTGGCTGCAGCGTGGCTTTTGGATAGTCATTTCTAGCGCAGGAGGAGGCAAGGATTCTGCAGAGTGCGGTACTGGTGTCTGCGGGCACTCACGTTGAAACTTTCTTAAAACACAGCTCAAGATGCACACGTATGGAAGTAAAAGTTTTGTCTCAAGAGCTGCTGTCCGTGCTCCTCTTCCAGAGGAGATCTGTGAAAGAGGAATCTGCGTCTTCCTGTGTGAGGAACTCGTCAAAAAACTCGCTGAAAAAGAACTGTTTCACTTTAAAAGAGCGGTGTCAGAACAGCACTGTGGGGCTGAGCTGGTGCGTTCAGAGTGAATTTTCCAAAACAACTTATTGTCAGCTTGTATTACATTATCTGCGTTGTTTTGCCCTCTCAGCTGCTTTATCTTGATGTGAAATCTTGCCACTGCAAAGTGATCTTTAGCAGGAAACTTGGCCTCTGAACAACCTGAGAAATAACTGGGGAATAAAGACCCTCTGTGTGGAGCCTCGGAGGCCTTAGGGACTGGTGCTGTGTGTTTTCTGTACTTGCTGCATTGCTGTGGACAATAGGAAATGAAGCTTGATGTGTTGTTTCTTGGCTAGGGAATTTTCTTGAGCTCTTAATCCTTGTGATGGTGTCAAGTGTGCCTGATGCCATGCATCCACTGCTGTCCTTCCTGCGTGGTGACTGTATTGCCAAACATGTTGTTTTCCTTTTAGGACTGTGTAGAAACTTCTCCAAATTGTTTGAAAATTGATTACAAGAGGGTCACATGCCTCATTGCTGGAATTTCTCAGGATTAAGTGGCCGACTCGTCATTGCCTCACTACAACATGGCTCAGTGCTGGGTTTGGCCACGCGACAGGACTTGATGTCAGTGAGGGATTTCAGCTCTGTTTTGCTTCGCTATTGATGGTGATAAAGTGTGGTCGTCACCATCTCAGTTCTGAAGCTCTTAAGGAGGAACCTTCTTGTTGGTGAATAGTTCCCGCTTAGGTTTGTTTCCCTGTGCTTAACTGGAAGTGCTTCGGGCAGTTGTGCTTCAGGGCTGCTGGTTGCTTCCAGATAAACAGGGCTGTTGTGCTCAGCTGCGGTGGGAAAGCATGTGTGCTAGTATACCTCGCCTCCTTTGGAGGACTAAGAGAGGATCTGTATCTGAAAATAGGAAATGGTTCCCTCTCATGCGGTGAAATAAGTAAAGGGGAACTGAGGCTGCAGGCAGAACCAGTTGGGCACCTCTCTGTCACCAGCCCTGGGATCTGCCTGCCCAGTGCATCCCTCCTGCCTTGCCCAGTGCCCGTGCTGGTGGCATGGTGAAGCCGGGCCTTGTGGTGGCACCAGAGCCTCCTGGCCTGGGTGCAGCATCCTACATGAGAGCGTCAGTGGTGACTGTGCTCAAATTTGGGCTGAAACAGCACAGTTTTGGTCCCTCAGCCGAAGCTCTTCCAGTGCATGCGAGCTGTTCAGAAGTTCCTCTTGTGCTTGGAGAAGCTGTGGGGTGCACGTTTGCAGATGAGGGCCGTCTGTGTGTGGTGACTGGTATGCGCCTCTTGGCCCTTCCTCCAGGGAGATAAACAGAGCTGGGTATTAGTGCTGGTGGGACAGGATTCCATCCTGGAAATTCAGAATCATTTCCTCTAAATCAGGATGTGATATATGAACTTTCTGCTGTCCAGTCTGCATGCTGTTAGGACAGGAAGTGGAGAAGTTGTAATTGTGGAGTAGATGGCCCCTGCCACAGCCATAAACCTTAGGAAAGCCCCGGTTAATGGTAGTTCAACTTCATGCCACAGCCTTTTAAAACTAAGCGCCGGAGCTAAGCATTCCTACTCTTAGTTAAACAATAAACAAATAATCCATCACGCTGAGATCCCAGAAGAGGCAGAAGCCTTTTTTGCAGGCAGCCGAGGCATTTGGGAGCGCGAGCCGTGCGGGGCGCACAGCTGTTGCCGCAATAGCTCCTCTCCAGCTGTCATGCAGAGGTCTGTCACAAAATACCCCACATTCCCTTCTAACTCAGCCCTTTGTAATATTCAGGTTTCCACGCTCAAAGGGACTGCAGCCTCGCAAGTACTTAATCACCCTCTGCATACTTCTTAGCCTGCAGTTGCCATTTACTTCATGCTTTTTTTGGTTAGCTGGATGGCCACGCTGCTAGTTTCAGCAGCACACAGCAGGAATGCCACTGATGTTCTATGCGTCCAAGTATCTGCTCTGCAAAGCTGTGGCTGCCTTTGGTCAGAATTGTTAAAATAATTTGTCATGTTCTTCTTCCTTTTAGTTTAGGTTCTGTTCTGTTTGCATGCTGAGCAACCTCCAGTGGCTCCCAAGGGTGAATATCTCCTGAGAATGTGTTGGTTTGAAAACCTTGAGGTGGTGTTGACTGGATGCAGTTCCTTCAGTGTGGCTGAGCTCAGCTTGTCAGTCAGCTTCATGCTAAATGTGGTAATGCATGAATGTGTTTTAGGCTGCTGGGACAATTCATGCAATATAAAAGTGTATGGGGATCCTGTGATTGTTTTTTTGTGTGTGTGTGTACTGACATCATGCTGTATTTACAAGTGAAAATTTGCAATAGTAATAGTAAGTTTCCTACTGCTCTTCCAGCTGTCAGTAACCAGTTCTGATTGGAGCTGTGCTGGCCACTTTACTCAACAAGCAAGCAGAGCAAACTGGGGGTAGGTAGCTAATACCAGGTGTTGCTCTGAAAGCAAGCATATATGGCTTACAGATGTAGTGAGCAGCTGTCTGGATATGCTTTTTCTTCTCTCTTCCAAACTACAGTTTTCACCAGAACATTAGTTCTCAGTACTAGAAATACACGTAGGGGTGAGTCAACTCTGTGTATCTTTTATTTGATGGAGATGTTGGGTGAAAAAATGGCCTTGTTCTCAATTTTAAGGTGAGGCTCTAAAATAGCACAGTAAAGCAGATGGAAAAAGCAACAACTGAAATGCAGCTGGTGTCCACTCTGGGAGTTGGACCGACTCCACTGTCTGACTGTCCTGTGCCACCTGTATGTGCTGTGCTTGAGAGTTTAAGCCTCTCTCATTCCTGCGTATTCTGATGAACTGCTGCTGACAGTCAGAACGTGTTCCTTGAGTGAGCCCATAAAAAAAAAAAAATCAAGGAATAAAATGTCACAGATTCCAGGCTGTGGATTCATATGGGGCTATGCTATAACTGTATGCTTACATTGTGGTAAACAGCAGGGTCGTATTACAGTGAGCAGTGTGGTGTGATGCAAGGTGGCAAAACATGATTCAGGGAACGAGTGTCTTTGTGTTGGCATCCACTGAGGTTAAAGGTGGCATGCGTGTGTGTTGCAGAAGGTGGGAAATGAAAATCCTAATCCAAACAAAACCCTTGTGATGCAGTCACCTGGAAAAATAAGGGCCTGTTGTTTCTCTTGTGAAACCTGAAGCCTTGGCTCCACGCTTTCCAGAGTGCTGCCACCAGAAAAAGGTTTGTATTGCTCGGTTGTAGATCTGCAGCCTGGCAACTGAAGTAATTAACTGCTGGCCTAACTTGCTGGCAAAGACGGGTTGAAAGCGTGCCAAGAGCTGCTGAGAACTTGGTGTGATACCCCAGTGTTGCTCCTTGGTGGGGCTGAGTGGTGCAGTCCCTCACCACAGAGGTGTCTGCAAGGCAGGCACTGGGGCTCTGCAATGGTACAATGCATCGTAACTTAGCCAGCAGGGATGCCATGCATTGATCTACTTAGAAGGGACACGATGAAAGCAGCTCATTAATAAGTGAGCTGTGTTCAGAACTGGGCACGCTCCCTTCCCAAAGTGAAATTCCTTTGAGATAGCTTGAAACTCGTTGCAGTCAGAAAGCACTCTGTTGTGTTGTGCAGCAGTCACTTGCACAGTTAGTTGGTACTGCTGTACTGTTGGTTGCTTCCAGTGCCACTTGCACAAGAAGTGCTGGCAGAGCATCCCAGGCTGGGTGCCCTTTGTGCTCGCAGGGTGAACAGCAGCGCTGGCACAGAGCCCTGTGCCCCAGCCATCTGGGAGGCTCCTGGCCTTGGCTGGAGCTCCAGACTGTGCTGCAGGGGTGGCTGCTGCAAGCACGGCCCTTCTTCTGGGGTGTGTGAAGGGTGGAGATATTCTGCTTCAGGATACCTTATGTTTACATAACTTGTTGGCATTTACCAATAACGTTAGCAGCTCCTTGAAGTGCGGTAGGATAACTACCAGCTTTGGTAAGTGTCTAGCTGG